ATAGGTTTAAGCTTGGCCGCAAACCTGTGACAGGAGCCTCTTGTGGTAGTTGGCTTCAACACTTCGAGCGTTTGCCCGCTGCTTGCCCTCCGGCGTGTGGCGCATCTGCCCCGGTTCGTGTTCTACGAGTGTCATATGACCTTTGAGCTTGACAGGGCCTACACAACATTCACCATGGGGCCCACAACCAAGACAGAGTCAGCTATGATTCATCGGTTTCTGGACATCGGCTGCGTGAAGGAGAAGGATATGTTCCGATGTATGGAGTGCAACCAAATGTGCCCTGTTCCTCGCAGTGTCACCTGTGGTGTCTTTCATTTGTCAGGCCCGAAGCAAATCAGTAAGGAACATCACAGCAAGGTTTGCGGTCTTTTGCAGACATTCAAGCCGAGGCCAGGGAGCGCATTTGTGTTCAGTGTCATGCTGCGGACTAGTAGTCTTCCTGGACAGGTTTGCTTTGCTGGAGCACGGTCTGGAAGATGATGAAGATTTTCACACCGAATATTTGGCCGCTGGATATGTAGTGGCTCCAATCCCATTGTCAACTTGCCCCAACATGCTCTACGGCAATTCTGTCTCCTGGAAGCTGCTCTTGCCTGCAGAGTCAGAGAAAACGCAGAAGGATGTCCAGGATTTTGCGTCTCGTATTCTGCAGCCCGTGCAGGGGCGATTGGCCTCAAGCTCACCTAACTGGTTCCTTCTTTCCAAGGACCTGCTTCTTGCTTGCAAACTAGCCTGAGTGCAAGCATGTAAAGAATAGGGGCGTGGCCAGGAGTCCCGCAAACGTCTTCGAGATCCGCCTCACCACAACTCCGAGGGTGAATTTCCTGATCTGAAGGTCCCTGACACTTGGGTCAAAAAGGTCATTGGTACCCTACTCCCGCATGGCTGGACGGCAGAGTCAGCAAAGATGCCTCAGTCGGGATTGCAACAAGTGATGCGGGCTGCGTACAAACGTGAGGCAGCCCTAGCGGCTGTTTTTGTGCTAGGAAGTTTTTTCCAACTCCTCCCAGGCAAGCCGGGTCAAGAATGGTTCATTGAAGCAGGCACCTTGCCCAACAAGCAAGCGCAGCACTTCCCTCCGCCAGTCAGGGTCAGTTCGCAAATTCTGGTTGGCAAGCGTGACAAAGTCGGCTCCTTCACCATCCGTTGGCTGATGGATGTGGAGGTGCTTGCGGCTTTCGGCTACCCCGAACTTTCAGCGTCAACTTCTTTCCTTGGCTTGAAGACCCGGCGCACAATGCTTGCACCAATCTCAGATGATAGCTTCATTGAGTATAAAATGCCACATGACACCATCAGAATGTTGGCCCTGCACTGTTCGCCAAGGCATCCCTTTCGACTGTGCCGCCCTTCCTAGCAGTTTGGCTCTCTGCTTTGGCGTCTGATTTGTAATTCCAGAGTCAGTGTTAGCATTTCAGATCTCGAACAAAGCACACGTGAACCAAAAAGTCACCGGAGTGCTACGAATCTTGTTGCTTAACATGATCTGCAGCTTGCGTGTGATTGATACTTCGACTGTGCAGCCAGCATTCTGACAAGCCTGGTTGTGCGGACGCTGCGAATCTTCAGCGTCAAAGATTTCTATTTTAGCTCTGGTTTCGTTGCCACGATGGCTGACCGGAAGCGCAGGAAGACTGGCAAGACCTCCGCCGATGGCACTGCTGACAGCGTCACTGACCATGTGTCTCATCCAACTGTGCTCCTGATGAAGGACCGGGTCTGTCATATTTGTTAATTGGAATTTGAGTAGCTGTGCATGCTGGTCAGGATGTGAACCACTTGGTGACCCCGTTCCTCAAAACCATCGAGCCAGGAATCTCCTTCGGTGGTATTGCATGCTGCGATCAGCACGAATATGAGGCAAACCTGTCAGTGTCAAAGATCTACGACTGCACCGTCACGGGCGACATGTTCAAACCATTCTTCTTTACGCATCGCTTCCCACCCTCTGAAGGGCAGGTGCTCAGGATGGCAAAGCACTTTGAGACTTCGTCAGAGTCAGAGTCAGAAATTCTTTGGCCGAGCCCGATTTCTTTGTGGGCCAGGGACAAGCGCACAATGCCCAAGCCAGGCGAGGGCACCCCCTTGGCCAACGATGTGGTGTGGTTAGGGTTCCTGAAGTACTTTGCAGATCAGATTGAGAAGAAGGCAGCTGAGGAGATCAAAAAATGCCGACAGGCGTTGCGCAGGGTGAGGGTCACTTTCCATTTTTGTGAAAGCGAGGACGCCGCAAACCAGCTCAAGTGGACAATCGAGCAGAACGTGGACAACATTGCGTCCAACCAGACGCTCAAAGGCTGGAAAAGAATATGTGGCTTTGCCGC